CACTTTCCGGAGGCCATGGAGATCCCTCGCTGGGGTGAGCTGTCTAGGGCGAGGGTAGCTATCTTTGATCTTGACTTTGATGCTATTCTTGCTGCCATGTATGCTGTCTCTATTAGTGATGAGGGTAACTGTTACCGGTGTTTCCCGCCCGACCCGGGCATTGAGACTGCTGCTCTAGGTACTCGTGAGGCTGCCGCTCTAGGTGCTAGCGAGGCTGCTGCTCTAGGTGCTAGTGCGTCTGCTCCCTCACGTGCTGGTGAATCCGCGCTCTCAGGTACCGAGTCGGCTTCGGTCTCCCTCACCTTCACCCTCGACTCGGGGGCGTCTCGCTCCTTCTTTTGAGACCGTTCCACACTCACGCCGCTTGGTCGGCCAGTTGCGGTCTCTCTGGCAGATCCCTCTGGGAGTCCTGTCCTTGCTCACTTCTCCACTGTCCTCGCGTGTCCGGCGGCTCCCTCTGGCACCCTGTCTGGTCTTTACCTCCCCTCGTTCTCTACGAACTTGGTGAGTGGCGCTGACCTACAGGATGGGGGAGTTCACCAGTTCAATCCTGCGAGCCAGCGGGTGACCCACTGCACGGACGCTCTGACGGGCTAACACTTACTCGTTGGCCGGGGTCAAGCCTGTACACACTGACCACTGGGTCTCCTTCACTCACAGCGTCTGGTCAGGTAGCTGCGTCGGGCCAGGTGCTTGCTGCAGCGTCCAAGTCTTGTCCTGAGTCTGCCCCCTACTCGTGTCGCAGCTTGTCCCACGAGACTCTTCTCTGGCACCACCGCCTTGGTCACCCCTCCCTGCTTTGTCTTGGAGGCATGGCCTCTCGTGTCCTTGTCTCTGGTCTTCCCCGGTCCCTCCCTCCCCTTCCTCCGGGGCCTGGCCCTGTCTGCGTCCCTTGTGTCGAGGGGCGGCAGCGGGCTGCCCCTCACTCCTCCCAGTTTTCTACGACAGAGGCTCCGCTGCAGACGCTTCACATTGACGTGTGGGGCCCGGCCCGCGTCCGTGGTCAGGGTCACGAGCGCTACTTCCTGCTGGTGGTTGACGACTACTTGCGTTACACCATAGTCTTCCCCTTGCGCAGAAAGAGTGATGTCACTAAGGTGTTGATCGACTGGATCCACGCAGCTCGTCTCCAGCTCAGGCAGAGCTTCGGCTCGGACTTTCATGTTCTGCGTCTGCACTTTGACAAAAGCGGAGAGTTCTCCTCTGGTCTTCTGCGAGCCTTCTGTCGTGCACGAGGCATTCGCCAGTCCTTCACGCTTCCAGACTCTCCACATCAAAATGGGATTGCTGAGCGCCGCATTGGCATGATCATGGACGTCGCCCGTACGTCCATGATGCATGCGGCTGCCCCCCATTTTCTGTGGCCGTTTGCGGTTCCGTACGCGGCGCATCAGATCAACCTTCACCCCAGGGTCTCCACGCCGAAGACCTCCCCAGCCCTGCTGTGGACGGGGAAGGTTGGCGATGCGTCTACTTTCCGTGTCTGAGGATCTCGAGCGTTTGTCCGCATCTTGTCTGCTCCTTGCGTCTTCCTAGGTTTCCCCCCTGACGCGCCAGGGTGGCAGTTCTACCACCCCATCTCTCGCCGTGTTCTGTCCTCCCAGGACGTCACGTTTGACGAGTTGGTCCCCTAATACCGCCTCTTCCCCTACCGCACTCCGTCCCTCCCCCTGCCGCCGCTCTTCCTTGTCCCAGGTCCCCCTCCAGTAGACCCCCTTCCCCCTCAGGGTCCGTTCCCTTCAGGTGTGTCCCAGTAGACGCAGTCGAGCCTATCCAGGTCACTGGTGACTCTGGTGCTGCTGAGGGTGCTGAGCCTGGGGGTGCTGACTCTGTGGGTGCTGAGCGTGGGGGTGCTGAGTCTGGTGGTGCTAAGCCTGGGGGTGCTGGGTCCGGGGGTGCTGAGCCTTAGGGTGCTGAGCCTGGGGGTGCTACGCCTGGAGGTGCTGAGCCTGGGGGTGCGGAGCTTGGGGGTGCTGAGCCTGGAGGTGCTGAGCCTGGGGGTGCAGAGCTTGTGGGAGCTGCGCCTGCTGGTGCTGTGTCTGGTGGTCCTTCAGGTGCTTCGTCTCGCCGAGAGCCACTCTCTCCACAGGAGCTGCGTGAGTGGTTTGCCCAGCGCTGGAGGCGGGCTGCAGGAGCTTGAGGTTCTTTGACTGCTGAGGGTACTGGTGCCGAGGGTCCCATAGGTGCTCGTACTGGGAGTACTAGAGCTGCTGGGCCTGCGGGTACTTCTGAAGCTAGAGTTACTGAGGGTGTTGTCGCTGAGGCTACTGCTGTCGGTGCTGGAGGTGCTGCTGGTGCTGCTGGAGGTACTGGAGCTGGAGGTGCTGCTAGAGCTGGTGCTGCCGCTGGGAGTACTGGTTCTGTCCCTGCAGTGACTGGAGTCGCCGCGCGGCCTCGGCCGTACTTCGTTCAGCAGGTTCTTGGTCTCCCGCCTTCTACTTGTCCTCCTCCTCCCTTAGAGTGTCCACTACCTGACCTGTCACAGCTACAGTTACAGCCGACCTCCCCACTGCCTGCTCCGTCTCCCTACACTGGTCCTACTGGAGGTCTTGTTGAGCGTCGTGAGCTTGCGTCTCGCCCTGCGTCGCCTGTCCGTGCTGCTCGCACTAGTGGTCGCGGTTCGCGTCAGCGTCCTCCTCCTGTCCCTGGCATGCACCGGATGGCTCAACGTCCGTCCACTGCTCCACTGCGTGCCCCTTTACCTTCTCCTCCTGATTCCACTCTTCCTGCTCTGGCCGACCCTGAGTCGGACTCTCTTCGTAATGCCATTCCTACTGTTAGCGTCTCCTTGCTACTGTTGTCACTGACCCTTCTTTTGAGTCCACTGCTGCGTCTGCCCTAGTTGCTGAGCTCGTCGACTTTGCTGCTCGCTGTCGTCTCGACTACCCTGCTAGTCTTGTCGCTGAGTCTGAGTCTGTCTGTCCTCCGTCCGTCGGGGGTGAGTGTGCCCTTGGCACGGACGTCCTTGAGGACAGGCAGGAGGAGTTCCAGTGTCTGGCGGCTGCTTCACCTCATCTCGTGTCTGTACTGCTTACCCCTGAGGGAGACCCAGATGCACTTGACATCCCGACTCCGCGCTCTTACGCGGAGGCGATAGAGGGTCCCTACTCCTCTCAGTGGCAAGCAGCTATGGACGCAGAGATGGCTTCCTGGAAGTCCACAGGCACCTACATTGACGAGGTTCCTCCGCCTGGGGCGAACATCGTCAGTGGCATGTGGATTTTCAGGGTGAAGCGGCCGCCGGGTTCTCTGCCTGTCTTCAAGGCGCGGTACGTGGCTCGTGGCTTCAGTCAGCGGCAGGGAGTTGACTACTTTCAGACCTTCTCTCCCACCCTGAAGACGACCACTCTTCAGGTGCTGCTGCACATAGCCGCTCAACGCGACTACGGGCTTCACTCTCTTGACTTCAGCACTGCTTTCTTGCAGGGCAGCCTGCACGAGGAGATCTGGCTGCGCCGCCCACTTGGCTTCACTGGGTCTTTTCCTCCTGGCACCCAGTGGAGCCTCCGGCGGCCAGTCTACGGTCTCCGCCAAGCACCGCGTGAGTGGCAGGACACACTGAGGACTACGCTTGCAGCTCTTGGGTTTGCTCCTTCTACAACTGACCCGTCGGTGTTTCTACGCACTGACACTTCTTTGCCGCCGTTCTACATCCTCGTGTACGTCGACGACTTGGTCTTTGCCACAGCTGACACTGCTGGACTCGCTCACGTGAAGTCCGAGCTGCAGAAGAGACATACGTGCACAGACCTGGGTGAACTGCGCAGCTACCTTGGCTTGCAGATCACCCGGGACAGAGCACGCCGCACCATTACCCTGACTCAGTCACACATGGTGCAGCAGGTCCTTCAGCGCTTCGGCTTCACGTACTCCTCGCCTCAGGCCACTCCTCTGCCTACTCGCCACTCGCTCTTTGCTCTGCCTTTGGATGAGTCCGTAGAGTCAAGTGGCCCGTACCCAGAGCTTGTTGGCTGCCTCATGTACCTGATGACCTGCACACGACCTGACCTTGCATACCCTCTTAGCATTCTCGCACGCTATGTTGCTCCTGGGAGACACAGACCGGAGCACATGGCTGCAGCGAAGAGGGTGTTGCGCTACTTGTGCAGTACGTCGGGCAAGGGGCTTATGCTTGGAGGGCGGATTCCAGTGGTCCTTACTGGGCACGCAGACGCTTCTTGGGCGGATGACCAGGCTACGTAGCGGTCGTCACAGGGTTACACCTTCAGTCTTGGTTCCGGCTCTGTTTCGTGGCGGGCTACCCGCTCGTCTTCTGTTCTCGGCTCCAGTTGTGAGGCTGAGATCTGCGCCGGGGCCATGGCTGCCCAGGAGCTTCGCTGGCTCACCTACCTGCTGTCTGACTTTGGAGAGGTGCCTCGTTCTCCTCCAGTGCTGTACGTAGACAACAAGGCCATGCTTGCCTTGTGTGGAGAGCAGAGACTGGAGCACAGAACAAAGCACATTGCTCTTCGCTACTTCCTTGCTGGTGAGCTACAGCAGCGTGGTCAGCTGCGTCTTGTGTACGTGGCCTCTGAGGCCAACACTGCTGATATCTTCACCAAGGCACTTGCGCCTTGTGATCATCAGCGCTTCTGTACTCAGCTTGGTCTTGTGCCTGTCTTGCCTCACTTGCTCACCTTATGACCTTGCTTGTACTGTTACATATATTTACACCTGCTCTTGCTTGTCTATCCTTTTATATAGATATATGTACTCCTGCATGTGAACTGGCCTTGTGGCCTTGAACTTGTGCTCGAAATGTGTGGTGACTTTGTGATCCACCCTGAGCTTGCTTTGCTTTGCTTGACTGGTCTTGTGACCCCTTGTTCTCCCCCACTTTGCCTATGGGGGTGTGTCAAATTATATTGTTGTGTAGGCTGTAGTGGGGTAGCCTATATGGGGTACACAATGCTAGGGCTGCATACTTGTATCACTTTCATTCCTTGGTCATTCATCCTCGTTTCTTCTCAACTCTCACACACACTCTCACGCGCACTCCCATGCGCACTCTCAATCGCTCTCTCATGCGCTCTCTCATGCGCTCTCTCCCTCGCTCTCTTATGCACTCTCTCGCGCTCTCTCTCATGCGCACTCTCGCGCGCACTCTCACGCGCTCTCTCACGCGCACTTTCACGCAAACTCTTAAACGCACTCTCCCGAGAACTCTCACGCGCACTCTCTCTCTCACGAGCTTTCTCATGCGCTCTCTCACGCGCACTCTCACGCGCACTCTCACGCGCTATCTCACGCGATCTCTCTCACGCTCTCTCTCACGCACTCTCACGAACATTCTCTCTCTCACGCGCCCTCTCACGCACTCTCTCACGTGCTCTCTCTCACGCGCTCTCTCTCGCGCTCTCTCGCGCGCACTCTCACGCGCACTCTCACGCGCACTATCACACGCACTCTCACGCGCATCCCCATGCGCATTCTCACGCGCTCTCTCACGCGCTCTCGCACACTCTCTCTCGCGCACTCTCTTACGCACTCTCTCGCGCGCTCTCTCACGCGCACTCTCGCGCGCACTTTCACGCGCACTCTTACGCAAACTCTTAAACACACTCTCCCGAGAACTCTCACGCGCACTCTCTCTCTCTCTCTCTCGCTCTCTCTCTCTCTCTCTCTCTCTCTCTCTCTCTCTCTCTCTCTCTCTCTCTCACGAGCTCTCTCACGCGCTCTCTCACGCGCACTCTCACGCGCACACTCATGCTCTCTCATGCGCTCTGTCACGCGCTCTCTCATACGCGCTCTCTCATAAGCACCCTCACGCGCTCTCTCACACGCTCTCACACGCACTCTCTTGTGCACTCTCTCATGCCCTCTCTCACGCACTCTCTCACGCGCTCTCTCATGCGCACTCTCAGGCACTCTCTCACGCGCTCTCTCATGCGCTCTCTCACGCGCTCTCTCACGCGCACTCTCACGGGCACACTCACGAGCAGTCTCACGAGCACTCTCACGCGCACTCTCACGCGCACTCCCACGCGCACTCTCACGCGCACTCTCATGTGCACTCTCACATGCTCTCTCACGCGCGCTCGCACGCGCTCTTATACACTCTCTCACGCGCTCTCTCATGCGCTCTCTCACACGCACTCTCACGGGCACTCTCACACGCTCTCTCACGCGCACTCTCACGCGCTCTCTCACGCGCTCCCTCTCGCGCTCTCTCACGCACTCTCACTCACATTCTCTCTCTCACGCGCCCTCTCCTGCACTCTCTCACGTGCTCTCTCTCACGCGCTCTCTCACGCGCTTTCTCGCGCGCACTCTCATGCGCGCGCACTCTCACACACACTCTCACGCGCACTCCCATGCGCACTCTCACGCGCTCTCTCACGCGCTCTCGCACGCGCTCTCTCCCGCGCTCTCTTACGCACTCTCTCGCGCACTCTCTTACGCGCACTCTTGCGCGCACTCTCACGCGCTCCCTCACGCGCACTTTCACACAAACTCTTAAACGCACTCTCCCGAGAACTCTCACGCGCACTCCCTCTCTCACGAGCCTTCTCATGCACTCTCTCACTCTCACTCGCACACTCACGCTCTCTCATGCGCTCTGTCACGCGCTCCCTCATACGCGCTCTCTCATACGCACCCTCACGCGCTCTCTCACACGCTCTCACACGCACTCTCTCGAGCACTCTCTCATGCCCTCTCTCAAGCACTCTCTCACGCACTCTCTCATGCGCACTCTCACGCGCACTCTCACACGCTCTCTCATGCGCACTCCAAGGCACACTCTCACGTGCTCTCTCTCGCGCACTTTAACACGCATTTTCTCTCTCACGCGCTTTCTCACGCGCTCTCTCACACGCACTCTCACGCGTACTCTCACCCTCTCTCATGCACTCTCTCATACGCAACCTCACGTGTGCTCTCTCACAGTCTCTCTCATGCACTCTCCCACGTGCTCCCTCGCGCGCTTCTCATGTGCTTTCACGCGCTCTCTCACGCGCTCTCTCATGCGCACACTCAAGCGCTCTCTTACGCGCTCTCTCACGCGCTCTCGTGCGCACTCTCACGCGCTCTCACACGCGCTCTCTCACGCGCTCCCTCACGCGCTCTCTCACGTTCTCTCTCACGCCCTCTCTCTCACGCGCTCTCTCACGCGCTCTCTCCCGCGCTCTCTCACGCGCTCTCTCACATGCTCTCACGCGCACTCTTACGCGCTCTCTCACGTGCTCTCTCTCGTGCTCCCTCTCACGCTCTCTCACGCACTCTCTCATACGCAACCTCACGCGCACTCTCTCACACTCTCTCTCATGCACTCTCTCACGCGCTCCCTCACGCGCTCTCTCACGCGCTCTCACACGCTCTCTCACGCGCTCTCTCATGCGCACACTCACGCGCTCTCTCACGTGCTCTCTCATGCACACCCTCACACGCATTGACCCATTCCTTGTTCCCCCATTCTGCGCTCCCCCAGCAACGGGCGCCTCAAGGTTCGCGCCCAAGTAGCTTTAGAGGTGTCTCACGGGTAGCACGTACGCGAAATGATGTCCGTCGACGTCAGACGGTCAGCGTGCGCGCGAAATGCGGAATGCGTCTATCTGACGAGCAGCTCTCACGCACAAAGTGGCTGTCAGACGAGCAGCATGCGCGCGAAACACCTCCCGTCACTGTCTGACGGCCAGCGTTCACGCGAAATGAGGGACATCCGTGCCTGACGGGCAGCAGGCGCACGTAGCGGCTATGCGGATGTCTGATTGGCAGCAAGCGCGCGAAATGCTTCCCGTCAAAGTCTGATGGGCTGTACACGCGGCCCATTCCCCGTTCCCCCATTCCTGTCGCCCCATTCGTGCCTGACGGGAAGCAGGCGCACGTAGCGGCTATGCGGATGTCTGACAGGCAGCAGGCGCGCGAAATGCTTCCCGTCTAAGTCTGATGGGCTGTACGCGCGGCCCATTCCCTGTTCCCCATTCCCCGTTCCCCCATTCCAGCCACCCCATTCCCCGCTCCCCCATACCCTGTTCCCCCATTTCCCGCGAATGCACATTCCTTGCTCCTCCATTCCCTGTCCCCTCGTTCCTTGCTCCCCCATTCCCCGCTCCCCCATTCCCTGTTCCCCCATCCTCGCTCCCCCACTCCCTGTTCCCCCATTCCCCGCTCCCCCATTCCCTGTCCCCCCATTCCCTGTTCCCCCCTTCTCTGTTCCCCCATTCCCCGCTCCCCCATTCCCTGTCCCCCCATTCCCTGTTCCCCCCTTCTCTGCTCCCCCATTCCCCGCTCCCCCATCCCATGTTCCCCCATTCCTTGCTCCCCCATTCCCTGTTCCCCCATTCCACGCCCCCCCATTCCCTGTTCCCCCATTCCCCGCTCCCCCATTCCCTGTTCCCCCATTCCTTTGTCCCCCATTACGCGCTCCCCCATTCCCTATTTCCCCATTCCCCGCTCCCCCATTCCCTGTTCCCCCATTCCTCGCTCCCCCATTCCCTATTCCCCCTTTCCCCGCTCCCCCATTCCCTGTCCTTAGATTCCCTGTCCCGCCATTCCCCGTTCCCCCCTTCTCTGCTCCCCCATTCCCTTCTCCTCCATTCCCTGTTCCCCCATTCCCCGCTCCCCCATTCCCTGTCCCCCGATTCCTTGTCCCCCTATTCCCTGTTCCCCCCTTCTCTGTCCCCCCATTCCCTGCTCCCCCATTCCCTGTTTCCCCATTCCCTACTCCCCCATTCCCTGTCCCCCATTCCCTTGTCCCCCATTCCCTATCCCCTCATTCCCTGCTATCCCATTCTCTGTCCCCTCATTCCCTGCTCCACAATTCCCTATTCCCCCATTCCTTGTCCCCCCATTCCCCGCTCCCCCATTCCCTGTTCCCCCATTACCTGCTCCACCATTTCCGGCTCCCCCATTCCAGGTACGCTGTAGAATGTCACCTATTATCCAACGTCTAGGCATGCTCATTGAGCCATGTCCATTCTTCTCAAATCCCTCTCACCTCCCACACCAACCCCTTTTGCCAGTAGGAACCCCACTCAAATCACTCTCACCTCCTCATCTGACAGTTGTGGGGCTCTAAGCTGTGCCTGTCAAGGACAGGGACATCTTCTTGAGAGGTTAGGTACCCAACTCAGCCACCTTCTTCGTGCCTCTCAACCACTCACTGCTGCCATCTACTGCTCTCACTGTTGCCATCTACTGCTCTCACTGCTGCCATCTACACCTCTCACTGCTGCCATCTACTGCTCTTACTGCTGCCATCTTCTACTCTCACTACTGCCATCTATTTCCCTCATTCCCTGTGCGCGATCTGAGAGTGAGACTATTGAGCCGTGCCTTTGGCATGACGTGTTTGTGTAGTGTTTTCGTAGGGCGTATCCAGTTCGTGTTGTTTCCCTCTAGGAAACGTTGACTGGCAGGTCAGTTTCTCGATTTAGAGAGGCAGCCCACAAGCACCCTACCGTGCGACAAGCCCTGCGGCATGTTTGTGGGTATGCACATTGCTGCGATGCTGTTGATTGGTAGTAAATCCTGGACAATTTTTTGGGTACACTAGAGGCTCGGCTGCTATACAAGTTCGATATATTTTTAACCTTGTGCTGACCAGCTGTTTCAAGTTGGACCCAGCTAGAAGGGGGGGGTCACTATTTTGCCTGCTGGCTTTAAAGGGCAAATCACTGTAGCCTAGAATAGCTAACCATAAACATTTGACCCACCCCCATAGGCTAAGTGAGGGGCATCAAAACAACCAAGGGAAACAAATGGCCACAACAAGTCAATTTCTCAGGGTGGATCTCAAGATCACTACACAATCCGAGCACAAGCAAACGACCACAAGGCAAGTTCAAAAGTTATCAAATTTATATAGATGCAAGGACAAGTAGAGCAAGCAATTCGAAACAAGTCTACAGTAAACGAACACCAGTGTCAACAAGTCCTAACTGCAGATGGAACCTGTGGTGGTCATTAGGCATTAGAGCCTTGGTAAAAATGTCTGCTGTGTTGGCCGCTGAGGCCACGAAGTCCAAGCGTGTCTGGCCGCACCGGTGCAACTCTCGCAGGTGAAAGTACCTCACTTCAATGTGCTTCACTCTGATCTCCAGTCGAGGCTCTCGACAAAGGAGTATCATGGCCTTGTTGTCAACGAACAAGGTCGGTGCACAGCGAGGCCGCTCACCAAGGTTAGTGAGCAAGAAAGTCAACCAACAAAGCTCCTGCACAGCCATGGCATCATCGTAGATCTCTTCCTCTGTGCTGGACGAAGCGAGGCCGACGACCAAGTAGAACTCCACGACACAGCTCCAGCGCCCAAGCTGAAACAGTACCCCTGAGTGGACCTCTGTGTCTCCACGTTGTTGGCATAGAAAGAGTCGCAGTGACCGGCCAGAACAACTAGCTGTCTCCCTCCAAGCACAAGCACCATGCCTGATGTAGTCGCTAGGTACTTCGCCATCCTCACATCAGCTATCCAGTTAACAGGACGGTGTCTCCCAGTCGCAACAAAGCGAGAGAGGACGCTGAGAGGAAAGGCAGGATCCGGACGAGTACATCATCATGTATATGAGGCAGCCCACAAGCTCTGCGTAGGGATCATTGGACTCAAACGACTCGTCAGAAAAAGGGCCGGTGATTCTGTTCTTAAGAGCAAGAGGAGTGGGCTGTGTGGTGGAGTGCTGAAGCCTGAACCGCTGAAGGACCTGCTGCACCATGTGTGACTGTGAGATTATAATGGTGCAAGCGGCTCTGTCCCAGGTGATCTGCAAGCCAAAGGTAGCGGCGCAACTAACCAAGGTCAGTGCACAAGTGTCCCTTTTGCAGTTCGGGCTTCACCTCAGCTAGAGCGGCGCTGCCTGCTGTAGCAAAGACCAAGTCGTTGACGTAGATGAGGAAGAAGAAAGGTATGGGCCCAGCACGAATGAACAACGACGGGTCGGCGGACGAAGGACGAAATCCGAGGGCACCAAGAGTACTGCGCAATATGTCATGCCACTCACCAGGTGTCTGGCAAAGACCGTAGACTGGTCGTCTCAGGCTCCACTAGGCCTCATGCGGGAAAGTGCCAGTGAAGCCTGGAGGACGACGCAACCAGATCTCTTTATGCAGGCTGCCCTGGTAAAAAGGCAGTGGACAAGTCGAGGAAGTGCATCTCGTAGTCTCGCTATGCTGCAACGTGAAGTAACACCCAAAGAGTCGTCACATTCAGGGTCGAGGTGAAGGTCTGGAAAATGTCAACTCTCTTTTGCTGACTGAGGCCTCTAGCAAATTAACGCGCCTTGAAGAAAGGCTGCGATCCAGGCGGCCACTTCACCTTGAAGATCCACATGCCGTCGACTACGTTCATCTTGGGAGGGGGAACTGCATCGACGTAGGTGTCTGTGGATTTCCAAGACGCCATCTCTGAGTCCATGGCCGCTTTCCATTGAGATACCCACTCCCGTGACACTACCTCACAGTACGTGCGAGGAGTCGGAATGTCAAGGGCTCCGGGGTCTCCCTCAGGGGAAAGCAGCATGACACACAGAGAGGGAGAAGCAGCTTTTAGGAACTCTAGCTCAAACTGCCTGTCCTCTAAGACGTCACAACCAAGGGCAAACTCACCTCCAGCGGACAGAGGAGGGGCAGGAGGAGCAGCCACTACATGCGTGGCGAAGTCAAGGCGGCAGGTGGCAGCAAAGTCAGCGATAGCGGCAGTAAGGGCCGAGACAGATGACTGAGAGGCACGAGGGTTGGTGACAAGAGAGGTGAGAACACGCGAGACAACGGGACAACCGCCACGGTAGTAGTCAATGAAAGGGTGAGAGGAGACAGGGAGAGACGACGCAGGAGGTGGCGGGAGAACAGACATACGCAGAGCACAACGAGTACTAGAACAAAACAAGACACTGCGGAGGTTGTCACAATGAGACGAGGGACATGCACGCGGAGGACAACGAGGAGTCCAGTCATGCGGGAGAACAGGAGGAGGCGACTATGACTGAGGAGGAGAGGAGCCGGGTCCGGAGGAGGAAACGTAGGACCGTACGTGGTAGGAGACTGTGAGTGGACTAGAGGAGAGGAAGGAAGACCAAGAACCCAAAGGCCACTCACTGGAGGGAACGATTGCTACAAAAGTGGCGACTGCGGCCACTACTGCTGCTGCTGCGGCTGCTGCCGCCGCTGATGTCGCCGCTGCCGCTGCTACTGCTGCTGCTCTCGCTGCTACTGCTGCTGCTGCTGTTGCTGCTGCTGCTGTTGCTGCTGCAGGTCCAACTGCCACAGCTCCTGCCTCTCCTGGACCAACCGCTCATGCTCCTCACCCTCACGTCGGCGAGCGGCCTCGAGAGGTGTGTCATGGCGGTGGGGAGGTGCGATAGTAGTGCCTCCAGCTCCAGTCTCCTCGGAACTAGCACCTCCAGTGCCAGTTCCTCTTGCTTCAGCATCTCCAGCTCTAGCACCCCCAAAACTAGCACCACTAGTGCCAGCACCTCCAACTCCAGCACCCTCTGAACTAGCACCTCCAGTGCCAGCACCCTCTGAACTAGCACCTCCAGTGCCAGCACCCTCTGAACTAGCACCTCCAGTGCCAGCACCTCCAGCTCCAGCACCCCTCAAAAGAGCACCCACAGACCGAGTACCTCTAGTGGCATCACCTCCAGCTCCAATAACCCCTGAGTCCATAGTAACCTGTCGCGGAGTGCCGAAGGCTGCTGAGGGGAATATGAGGAGGACTGCGGGGAGGGAGACGCTACCTGACGAGCGATCGAGGGTAGAGGGGTAGCGTGAGACACAACTGACAGTGCAGGACCAGGGGAGGGCGGGGGTACCAGAGGAGCGGGAGCAGGAGGAGGAGTGGGGGCGAGGAACAGAGGAGGGGGGGGGAGGGACCGGGAGACGTTGACAGGGGTACCGGGTGTAGAATGACGCTGACTCGTCAAACCGGACGTCACGGGTTCGAGGAACCGGTGGAGGGGCGGGTAAACCAAAGAAACCAAGGAAGACACGGGGGATGGCGCGAGCCGAGAGCTTATCCGCGGAGGTGTCGCGAATAAGCACAAGATAGCCCCAGACGTGAAACTCCGACGCAACACCAGAGGACCCGGTCCAGAGACTGGTCGGTGAAGCCCCTGGTCGTGAGACACGAGGCCAGAGGTTCAGTTGGTGGGCGGCGTAGCAAATCGTGTAGGGCCACAGAAAATGGCACACAGGCATGGATCATGGAGGTGCGTTCGATCTCCATGACCAAGCTAATGCGGCGCTCAGCAACCCCATTCTGCTGTGGGGACTCCGGAAGCGTCCAGGACAGTGTGGTGCCTTTCTCGCCGTAGATCGGCAAGTACGTCGGAGCAAAACTCACCCCCATGGTTGACTGACACGACTACCACGAGTGCCCTCAGTGGCTAGGAGCCAGCGGATCAGCGTAGAAGTCACCGCGGACTTTTTCACGAGAGGAAAAACCGTGGTGTACCTGGAGTAGTCGTCGACGACCACTAGAAAGTAACGCTCCGCGCGGGGCCAGCACGTAGGGCTGGGCCTCAGACGTCCAAGTGGAGGGTCTCGAAGGAAGCAGTGGCCGGACGAAGGGAGGTGGAGTGAGGAGTGGTGCGTAGCCAACCCTCGACGCAATGAGTGCACGGCGGCGCCAGTGAGCAAGGGAGCAACTCCAAGACCCGAGGGAGACCCGACACAAGACGCTGGCTGGCCATGCTACGGAGGCGTGGATGGACGGGTAACCTAGACGGTGGTGCCACAAGACTGTCGGGTGGGAGAGGGACCGATAGGAGCAAGACACAACAACATGACTGGACGCATCAACCTGACCGGATGCAGCAACCTGACCCAACACAGCAACCTGAGGGGCCGCAGTAACCTGACCGGACTCTGCTACCTGGGGGGATGCAGTTTGCAGAACAAAGAGACCTGAGTGGGGCTCCTTAGTGATCGTGGCAAGGAGTGCTCCGGTGGAAGCATGCGTACAGATTGCAGTCCTCCCGTGCGCAGGAAAAGTGACTTTGATCCCACGGTCCTGAAGGTATCCTACACCCTCCAAGTTCCTAGAGAACGAGGGGATGTAGAGATTAGTGAGGATAGTAGAAGGGACGGCCGGGCACGGGAGAGTGGTCGAGTTGCAAGCGACTGCTGGTTCTGAAGTAGGATCAGCCAGGGCAACTGGGACTGGAGACAAAAGAAGTGTGACAGTGGTGTGGTCGCGAAAGAAGCACTGGGACGCGCCTGAGTCCAGCGTGAAGGAGAGCGATGCGACAACAGTCGTCAGGGCTTGACTTGTTACTACACAAGCACCTACATTAAAAGCACAAGTACCTACACCAGCAACAGGCAAAGGTCCTAAGCGAGGTACACGCAAGCCAAGATATTCGTACGTGACAGAATAAAGATATCCATAGACATATAAAATACGTGGTAACCACTACGAGT